AGTGTTTCCTAGCCATCACTTCAGTGATCTACAGGGTACCATAATTATGTTGTTGGCTACAGAGATATCTGGCTTTTCAGATGTACATGCAGGATGTGTATATAAGCTAGGGGTAGATGGGATGAACTGATATCAAAGAGGGAGCCATGCAAGGATGAGGTGTCAGCAGTAAAGTACCAAACCCCAACTCCAATACTTACACCTAGATATGGTCTCTATGCTCCTTGTACATGGACCAGTGGTAATATGATTGACACTGCAACAACCTTCTATGTTGATGGTTTCAAGGCCCCTTGTACCTACAAGACAGTACTCTCTAAATGGTCAGTCATCTGGCATGATTTAACAGTTTTATGTGATTTTTTGGCCTTTTTGTGAAATTTTAATGGAATATAGTCGTATTATGAACTATGTATTCCTATATGTAGAAATTTGCCAGAGGGGGCATTTCCTGATGTGAACTTCGAACTTAACTCCGAGCTACAACGACACGGCGATCAGTATACATGGCAGTACTGTGATGATTCTAATTGCTGGGATACGTGAAATGTAACAGATAACACAATGCGCATTATGCTGTCCCTCCTTCCAAAAGATAGAAGGGATACGTGAAATGTAGCAGATGGCACAATGCGCATTATGCTGTCCCTCCTTCCAAAAGATAGAAGTGAATCCTGAGACCTCGGACTGCAAGAAGGCGGTCATAGTTTTCGACAGCATTTCTAGCGCACCGTGTGACAGGTTACCGATTGCAGCAAGTGCGCACTCACGGGCGACTCTTCCGAAGGTGTTGTCGGCGCTCATACAACCTCGCGGGTAAAGCACCCCGCCTTAGCTCACCGGACAGGTATGCACAACAGTCGAAAGTCGGAGTGAAAGTGCTTGCCGCTTGTGACGAGTCAGCGCGGCAGGCTCACTGCAAGTATGATTGCTAAATTCCTCAGACACTGAACGATCAGAGATGAGCATGTCCACTCTTGGCCAGGTAGGGCTCATCCAAACTTGCTAATTGTCACGTCAAATCCAGTATGAAAGAGGTGCTAAAACCTCTATTCAACCCTTAAACTCAACAAGCAAATAATCCGACCGATAAATATGCAGTATAGGCAGACCTCAAAGAGAATTGTCGTCCAGATTTCGCGGAAGTAGTCTACGGGACGGGGAATTCACGCTAAAAGGGTCTTGCTTCAAGCTGCCGAAGCGGGGGCGATGCGCGAAAAAGCACCACTTTGAGGGAGCGCGCGTGATTGTGACTTTCAGTTACGTCTTAGCAAGTTTGGATGAGCCCTACCTTATTGTTATCATGGTCAGTTACGTAAGTGTTATCTTAGCAGCGCATTTTCTCTCTGCGTATTGACACTTTCCGTCTTTAAATGGACTCCAGTGGAGCTTTGGGCATCTGTGGAATAGATTCGATGATTTTGCAAGGTTTCAAAGAGGAAGTAAACACAGTGGTAATGCACAATCGTTGAATCAATGTGAGTCAAGTGGTAGGTAGGTAGGTAGGTAGGTAGGTAGGTAGGTAGGTAGGTAGGTAGGTAGGTAGGTAGATAGGTAAATAGGTAGGTAGTACTAAGTGATCGCCTCGGTCCCCATACTGGAACAGCGGGGCCCTAGGGCCTCGCGCTAGTTGTGAGCCGGGACACCTTGGTATACACGGTCCCCGTCCGATCTATGAGCCAACACACCGCTTCGTTCAGAGTGTGCATGATCACATGAATGTGTATCGTACTGTATATCCTACCCCAGTCCTTCCCCTTGACTAATCGAGTAGTAGCGTTATCAATCCATTGTGTCCATCGCGACCCCGACTGGCACCTCAATGCGATCCTAACGAATGCGCCGCTTCATCACCACTGGAGCTTGCTTATATGTTGAAATGACAAGGTATGCATGAAAGACACCCTCGTATACGGCTTGCATGTTTTGCCGGAATCAGGTAGGTTGACAGCACCCATCTATGTAGAGTACATGACAATCGTAGTCGGCCAAGGTATAGTTTACACTGTATGCAAGTCTAAGAGCATCCTGGTATTTATTAGCCTCCGATTAGTTCAAAAGTAGGACCTCCGAGAGTCAGGAACATGCAGTGGAGACATTATCCTGACCACCTCGTTAGCTACTTCGAATCACGACACGCAGATTTGTGCCTACTGTTCGAGCGAAGGTCCAACAGTTGAGGGAGGTATATGCCCGCGCATAACCGACCTCCGCATACACGAACATGTAAGCGAATTTTCTCTTGAAAGCTTCAATATCGTGGTCTGTCTTCAGCTGAGGGTACCGTTGGCGTAGGTCCTCGATCACGTCTCCCTTGAAATTTTTCTCCAGCCTTCTGCGCGTTTCCATGCGTATCAGTACTGTTCCTTGATGCAATCATGGAGCTACTTACCGGCCCCATTCTCGCAAGGTGCGACAGTAGTCTAGATGATAGTCGACCTTTATTTAGGCTATCTGAATATGACTGCATGAGAGATCAACGCACGTATTCCGTGGTCTTCGAGATTATGGAAGACGAATCTTCCTGGAACCGACTTCTGCACCCAAACTGCCATCGACGTGGCACTTGGGAGATGACAGTTCGGCCAATGATAATGACGGGAGAAATCGTCCGGCCTGAGCGATATATTATCAGTCAGTACGGAGTTTGGGGACCGTGATGCATACTGAAAGTTGGTATAGCGCGACTCCGGCTGCGAGGTCGCCGTTATTACCATTGTGGCTCTGTCATCCTTCAGAGCCCAGTCCATGATCTTGAAGAACTCAGGTAAATATCGAGGTCCAACGGCCTATGAATGTTGCATGAGATACGCCCATAGCGCTCGCATGGCAGATCTTCCTATTTACCTCGATCATTTCGCACGATACCATTGCATCAAATTGTTTCTCGAAGGTTGAAGGCAGCTCGCGGTAGTCGCAAAGGTGAACGCGAACACGATCCTCCACGCCAGCTTCCCGTGCTTTCTGCTTCGCCATCAGCATCTGCTCCTTGCAGAGGGTGACGGTATCCACGGTACAGCCTAGTAAGGCAGCCTGTAGATATGTACCGACGTCAGCCAGCGTAGTGGGAATGTGCATATGATACCGGCATTAATGGCCATGGCACCCCATCCCGTGCCAATTTCCAGTAGTCGATCGCCAGGGCGAACACGAGCCTTGGCCAGAATATGCATGATCTTGCGGCGTTGAGCGGCCTCGAGGTCTCTGGGGATAGGTCCTGACGTGAGGTCCCCTCGGGGACCATTTTCCTCGTCACCCCAGATTGCGCAAGAATACATCATTTCCTCGCTGAGAAAAGACTGAAAGGCCTCCAATCAGCGTCCGTGCACATTATGTGCTGGTAAACTACCTGGAAGAACTTATTCGACGTGTTATACGCCACCTCCTGTGATAGCATGGATTATCAAATACAACCACGAACACGAACAAATGGCACAAACTGCGTTTCGTTTCGCATTGGAAAGGCTTTGACGGCCCAAAGTGTTGATAGCAAGCGCCGAATAGTACGCTAACAGGGAATTCATAGTGTTTTTCATGCCAACCAACGTATGGCGATTGTCCAGCCACAGCTAAGAAGACAATTCATTATTAACAAGAATCAGACTTCGCCTCCGAGAATGGGTTAACGTACATTAAGGAGAGCCTTAAGACTGGACACGTCGAAATCACTCTCCATGTAGGCTTCAGCAGCTGCAAACTATGTCAGAGCGTGATAGTTCCACACGGTTCACATCGAGTTCACCTCCCAGATCGTTTGACATCACGATCCGGATCCACATGTTCGGATTGTTCACTGTCAGGGTGACCTGTTGCCCTTCACTGCGAGAGTCTCCGAACTCGCTGGTACCATGCTCGTCCACGATGATAAGGTGTCCTTTAATGATACCATCTCGCAAGGTGTCGAAACACCGCGTTCGAGCTACAAGTAAAGAACCGAGTCAGCGACGGGTTTCGCAGGCACAATGAAACACTGACCGTAGCTGATCAAAGAATTCAGGGCAGCCGTCTTCAGATAACCTGCTGAGATCAGATACGAGCGAAAGCTCGGACGATGCAACAGTGATGGAGACATAGTCAAGATGATAGACTTGAAGTGAATGCTGCTGGGAGTCTGTAGTTCGAGCCCGTTGGCTTGATCGCTTGTTATACCCGCACCATCCCTCCCCAGAAAAATCCCATCATCACAGTTCTGCAGTATGGCAGTCCGTACCCATCGAGGTTGGTAGCTGTGAATAGATCGGAGTCATATGTTGGTCCGGTGTATCAGGATGCCGTCGAACCACGGAACCTGGTCGTCGTGTCCCTACAGACGCACACACGTGACGGTCACGCAGATGCAGGTCAATGCTAAAGCGCTACAGTCTCACAGGGCTTACTCGCATTGCACAGCGATGTCTAAATACGTCCCCGAAGTTCCAGCATGTCCGGCCTATCCGGTAAAGACGACCCCCTTCGACTGCTCGCTGTCTTTTCGCCCGCCACCCTGATTCACATACACCGCCCACCATGTCTCAAGCTGACTCGTCGCTCGTCTACGGAGGAATGGTTGCGTTGATTGTCGGGCTGTCGCTCTGGGGATGGCAGCGCTCGAAGGACAGCACTACAATCTTCTATCCTCCGAGCCCGCCGGCCCATCCTTTGCTTGGGAACTTGAAGGACATGCCGTCGGATGGGTCAGAATGGCTGCATTATGAGCAACTGGGCAAGCACATCGGTCAGTATGTCTTTTTGTGGCGCTGGGATTGTTCACCGTAACGTGAGTTCAGGAAGCGATATCATATACATGACGGCGCTAGGCTCTCATGTTCTGGTCATCAACTCCTTTGAAGCTGCTCGGGATCTTCTAGACAAGAAAGGATCCACGTACTCTAGTCGTCCACGTATGGTAATGCTTAAGGAGATGTGAGATTTCTTCTAGTGCACAAATTCAACGTTCATAACCTGTCGTAGGATGGGTTGGGACTGGAACCTCGTGTTGATGCCCTACGGGAAGTCTTTCGCGGCACATCGTCGAGTTGTTCAGCAAGAATTCTTGCCTTCGATAGTGATGGAGCGTTGCCGACCCGTAATGACCGAGGAGGTACAAAACTTGCTGGTCCGGCTTTGGCGCACGCCAGACGATCTCGTGAAGCACCTGAAGACGTAAGTGTACCCCTGCTACCCGCCAGCACCGACTCTGGCTGAACCGCGAACAGAATGGCTGGCGCCATTATCATGATGGTAACCTACGGCCATCACGTCAGTTCAATGGACGACGAGTTCGTGAAGCTTGCCGAAGCTGTGCGCGCCCATAGTGAGCACAAACCGGGGACCAGAATCGTTGGCATATTTCCCTTTTGTTAGTCCGGCCCATGTGTAGAATTTCAAGGTTTTGACGTCGTCGCCTTTAGTGAAGTATATCCCTACGTGGTTTCCCGGTGCGGGCTTCAAGCGATTGGCTATATGGAAGAAGCAATTCTCCATCAATATGCGCACCGCACCGTACGAGGCGGTCGTGAGCCGTATAGTACGATCTCATGTTTTGGTAAAGGCGTCGCGATTGACGTTAGATATTAGGCGGCCGGAACCGCGGTGCCCTGTCTGGTCAGCCGTTTGATGCATGATGATCTACCCTACGAAGGCATCAACAAGATCGAATTCGTCAAGAACTGTGGAGGTGTCGTATACAGTGGTACACTTTACGATGATATCTGGATTCTCGTTGGCTGATGCCCACTTTTGGAAGCTGGGGCTGATACTGTTGGGTGGACCGTCTTGGTGTGGTCGGATACTCGTTGACATTATTTATCCTAGACTGTGGCGGCATTAGCCAACTTCTTCTTGGCCATGACGCTATATCCCGACGTTCAAGCGCGTGCTCAGCAAGAGCTTGATGACGTGGTCACAAGATATCGCTTACCTACATTTGAGGATCGCGATCGACTACCGTACATCGAAAACATCGTAAAAGAGACTCTTCGTTGGAAGGCCGTCTCTCCGTTAGGCGAGACTTCACCAATGCACCGTCTCTCGACGATAGCTGAATCTCCCTGATAGGTGTGCCTCACGCTACAACTAGGAGCGATGAATATCGGGGGGCATACATTCCTGAGAACACGACTGTCGTTCCGAACCTACAGTAGGTCCCCTCTCCATTCATTATGACATACCACGACACTGTCGGCGTTCAGTGCAATGCTCCATGACGAAACACATTACAAGAATCCAGATGAGTTCAACCCGGACCGTTACATCCCAACGAAGGCCAACCCCGAGGGAGAGCCCAATCCTAATCGTGCAGCATTTGGATTTGGACGGCGGTATGCATCATTCCCGAAGTCGTTCTGTCCTGACTCACGCCTGTCTTCAGGATCTGTCCGGGACGATTTTTTGCTGATGACTCTCTGTTCCTCACGATCTCGTCCGTACTGCATGTCTTTTCGATCAGAAAGCCTTTGAAATCCGCCAGCATCGACAGCATTCGATGGAGCCCGGGGCTCGTGAGGTATGTCCGGACACCTCGGCGCCCGCACGCTGAAGTACTCACACACGCAATTCTGATATAGCCTTCCTTCGGCCTTTCCTTCTGCGATCGAGCCTCGGTTCTCCGGGGCTGGCGAGCTTCTGGCCCTGACCGAGCGAACCTGATTTGGGTAGATGTGAAGTTATGATCACCTTGACGTGGATGAATGGCAGTGGCTCAGTTGAACACCTCCATCGTGATAAACTATTTATATGCTCCTTTCTGCGTCCGATCAGTACTGAGGTGGAGACTGCTGGGCGGGACGAAGCCGTTTCCTTGTGGTGGGCAGTGACATACCGATCGTGCTTTCTTTCTGCGAATATCGACCGCATGCACATCTGATGTCCGATATCGTAATGCTGTCGCACATGCTGTTAACTGGGATGTACAGGGTGCAGGCTCTCTGCATCACTTTCCCTTTGTGGCGTCGTGGAGTCTGGGATGAAAGCAACCTCCGGAGATCGCCGGTCCGGATGTACTTAAGGACGTACACACATCTGTGCCGGTAATCGTCACAGTCACGAATCTCGATGCGGTCAAGGCTTCGAGTTCGGTATCATAGACCCCGCATTGGGCCTGATGGCGCCTTCTCTATTTCCGGCGTGTCAGAGGCCGCAATGAAAACTCAAGGCCTTGTCATGGACTCATGGCACTGGCTGGCCACTAATATAGCGACAGGCACGCCTTTTGCAGCCTGAACTCGCTACCTTCGTCATGTCTCAGACTGGGTATCCCACAATTGACGTTGTACCCGATGGCTTAGAGGCACCAACTCTTGTTGCATCGAGTGCCAAGAAGGGGATTCGGTTCTGGCTTGTGCTTGTTGCTCTTCTACTTTCGACATTCCTGGCATTACTTGAAGGAGTACGCGACAATACTACCTTGTTCCATTTTTCGTACTCATCGGTTTCTAGTATGCCGTGTCAATGGCTTTGCCAACAATCGTTGGCGATCTACATTCGAATCAATTCGTGTGGGTCGCCAGTGCGTACGCTATCGCGAGTACTGCCCTTCTCCCGCTGAGTGGCGGCCTTTCAGAGGTAAGAATGTTTCGCCCTCGCACCCAACCGAGATTGTTTACATTGCGCCAGGTGTTTGGCCGACGCCCGATTGTGCTCGGATCTGTGGGGTTGTTCGCTCTTGGAGGTGCATTGGCCGGTGCCTCGCAAAGCATGAACATGCTCATCGCAGCCAGAGGTTCGAATCATCTTATCATTGCTGATGTCGTTCGCTCAGATTTCGCCGTGTAGTGGTGCAAGGTGCAGGCGCAGGCGGCATATTTTCTATGTCGCAGATAATTTTGTCGGACCTCATCAGGAAATGCCCCCTCTGGCAAATTTCTACATATAGGAATACATAGTTCATAATACGACTATATTCCATTAAAATTTCACAAAAAGGCCAAAAAATCACATAAAACTGTTAAATCATGCCAGATGACTGACCATTTAGAGAGTACTGTCTTGTAGGTACAAGGGGCCTTGAAACCATCAACATAGAAGGTTGTTGCAGTGTCAATCATATTACCACTGGTCCATGTACAAGGAGCATAGAGACCATATCTAGGTGTAAGTATTGGAGTTGGGGTTTGGTACTTTACTGCTGACACCTCATCCTTGCATGGCTCCCTCTTTGATATCAGTTCATCCCATCTACCCCTAGCTTATATACACATCCTGCATGTACATCTGAAAAGCCAGATAT